TGTAGAAAATTCTATGATGAATAAAAATCACAAGTTTTTTACACAATCTCGTTTCCATTTTTTGCACACCGAGTCTTATCGAAACAGACATCTCACCCCTTTCGTTGCTGATGGCCACAGTAATGAATCTTAATTCTCACTTCAGATCTGACTATAACATCCTTAGCAGGATTACAGAGCGCGCTATACAAATGATTATGTTCATTACCGGAGCGGATACGTTTATGGAAACAAGTCTGTAAACCGGAATGTCATCAAAAAACCCAACAAACAGGTCGTTGGTCTTATCAGGAATGGTCTTTTCGGAGCAGGCATGTCAATGGAGACTCGCCTGTAAACCGAACCGACTATTCAAAATCCAACTAACAGATCGTTGGTCCCAGCAAAGGGCATGTTCATTTTTAGAATGGATGCATCAATAACGACCCGCATGAAAGCCAAACAACTTTGAAGTCTAAGGCACGTTCATCTTTAGATGAAATTTGCTAACTTGGACATTAAATCCTACCAACAAAACGAGGTGGTCTCTTGGAGTGGATACGATAGTGACGCCCTCCGCAAACCGGAAGAATCATCACAACCCCGACAAGTACGTTGTCAACTTCGTCAACAAACTGACAAGTCGCGCCTTTTGACACTTAGTAATTTTACAAAAAAAATAAAAGTACGACGTTACTCAAAAAAGGTAATCGGAATGAAAGACAAAGTCGTAATAGCATTTCACATCGCTGTGATAAGTCTGGAACAAAGGGATAAAACCATCCAGATGCTAAAACTGAATCCAAACTCTATAAGCAAAAGAAGTAGCAACACACTGGAAATCCGAGAAACAGCAAAGCAAGATAAAAAACTAAACGGTCTCATCGACCTCCATCCCCGTCGTGCTCTGCAGCCTCATCCGTTGCGCTTCCCATGGCTACCTGCTCAGGCACGTCGACCTCCCCCTCGGATACCCGCTCGGTCGCCTCCTCTGGCACCTTCTCCACCGTCTCGCCATCAACACGAGCAGGCTCGCCATCCTCAAGTACACCTCCTGAAAATGACGTAAGAAAGCAAACTTAATCATTTTGTTTTATGTTCCGACCAGGGAACATACGTTTGGGGCTATAGTTCTTACCTCCTGAAAGAGGGACAACTACCTCGGTCGCCTGCTCCAAAGATACCACAGTCGGATCGGCAGCAACTGTAGCAAGTGCCTCTGGTGCAGGAGGCGACGGCTCCGTGGCGATAAGGACCGGCGCGGCCTTCATAACACGAAGATCATGTAATCCCGAGGTCCCGCCGTTGGTCCCCGAGAAGTTGCGCACGCCCAGCGACGCAGCCGTAACCTCGACATACTCACTATTATCCAGCTCAACCGATGGGGCACGGAGAATCTTCCTGAGGTTCTCTACCTCATCCGTAAGCCTTTTATGAGCTCTCGCCGATCCAGCCACCACTGCAGCAAGTTCTGCCTCCTCATTCACAAAGTCCGGAGGGTTGTCACTCTGAGCCTCCTAGACAAGTTGTAGGTTGCTCTCGGCCTGAGCCAGGTCGAAACTCTCCCCTCTAGCCTCCTCAACGACATCCAACTGCCTCTGAATCCGAGTAAGAGTCTCCCGAAACTTGATCGCCATCTCGACCCTCGCTCCGTGAACCGCTTGCTGCACACTTTCCTCCCGTTTCTCATGCAAGCTCAGCTTGGTATAACAATCTTGCAGCCTCTGGAAGCGACGGACGTTAGAGGCGGTCAGATCCTCATTCTTCTTCTGCACCTTGCCGAGCTGGTCGCGAAGTCGCTTCACCTCAGACTCCGAGTCAGCAAACCGCTTCTTCGCCGTACTCTCTTCGTACTTGTACTTCTCGACATCCCGCTGTACACTCTCAAGGTGACGCTTACCTGCCCTGGACTGCGCCTCATAGTCCAGAACCATCTTGTTAAGATGGGCGATGAACTGCTAACGACAAAGAAGCATAAAATTTAAATAAAATCCTTAAGAAAAGAGAGATCAGTTTTTTAATTTTGAAGACAAGGAGGAAGGATGCGAGATACCTGGATCCCGTGACGAGCAGTCGCGGCGTAGTTCCCATCGCCCTCCAGGTAGCAGGCGGAGGAAAGCGAGTACCAGAGAGAGTGATCCTGGACAACACGTTGGGGGCAGTCTGGTCGAGCTCAGAAGTAGCCGCCCCGCGATCACTAAAGTAGCGTCTTGGTTCCTTGAAAACCCTCTCCTCAGAATGAGATTCTCTCCGGCTATCCGTTCCGCGCTTGCGGCTCTCATCCCTGTGACTTATCTCCTCGTGATGAACCAGGGAGGAGACGGTCGGGCGGGGAGCACGAGCCGACTCGTATCTGGTCAAAGCTGCACGAACTAGAGAGGGAGAATGAGCAGTCTGGTCAGCAACAGGATCGTCTGCAATCGGTATGGCCGACTCGATGTGTGTCCCCGCCGCGGAACGCGGCTGGACCTCGGTGCGGATATCCTTGGAGCACCGCTCCTTGGTACGCTGCTCCTCGGCACGTCGTGCAGCGTCAGCCTTCTCTTTCTTGGCTAGCCTCAGCTTATCACGAATGGTAAGCCTGGTAGACATGGGTACAATGGATCCGGTGTGATTCGAAGATGGCGACGAACCCGGAAGTGTGGAACCAACGTGCTGGGCTCTGGCTCTTTCAATTCGTCGAAAAGAGAAGTGCTTCCTCCAACGACACCGTCGAGCGATCAGGGCGTCGTGTAAACTATTCGTGTCCTATCGGAAACTCCGCCAACCGCTTCGGAGCTGTAAAACAGACGAGGAACATGAAAGTGTCAGAAATAATTTCTACAATAAACGGGGCCAAATGACTAGCCTAACAGCTAACTACTCTAAAAACTACAAGAACCGCTACCACGAGTCCTCCATTCGGTCAAGATCTTATTGACCCAGTTAGAACCGACAGAAGCCTCGTCTATCTTCACAAAGAAGAACTTCTCTAACCAGAAGTTGTCCTTGCTGGGGAAGTCTTTGATGACCTGGTAAAAAGCTTTGCCTCAAGTGAAGTAGTTAATCTTGC